CTAAACATATACACTAGGTATACCATAATATAACTAGTAGGCTCACTCCGTCATTTGTTTCGTTTTGCACCGATTCCTTCTGCGCATCCGATATTTCGTTGGTCCAGCCAATGAGAGAAACGTGTAGCAGTGTAGTTTGATGAGTACACACATACGTTGCTGGATTTGGACCGAAGACACGGTGGAATACCACGTGATTGGGACCGCTAAGATCAAAGGGGTCGACAGAGAGTGAACCTACTGGTTATACTATGGTCTTCATTCCGAATCCACGGTTATCTCGCGAAGCCCGCGACGATTTCCATTGGCCGTCAGACAACCGACACTCATATGCAGCTCGCGAGCGTATCGATTGCTGCGCGCGCGTACCCGGCGCATAGGGTCAACCACGAAGCACGCATAATAAGTCGCCCGGCCGAGAGAAACGGAGCGCGAGCCGATATTTCGGCGAGGAGACGCGACGAATTGTGCGGAAAGAAAAGAAGCGAGAGACGTAAAACCGAAATAATAGATAGCTGTTACGCGCGCGGCTGGCCGGTGCGACTATTGATAACCGCGTCGTCGGGAACGATGGAATCCGGAGGAAATCGCGCACGACCGGGTCGCCGATTATCTGCCGTGCACCTTTTCAGGGTATCTGTGCAGGGTGTGGTGAGCGCGCCGCGCAGTGCAGGGAGTTACGTAACGGAAACGCACGAGGAAATTTCCGAAAGTGTCGGTTCGGCACGCAAGTACTTGATTTTATCGCAGATAAGGGAGAGGTGCGAAGGCGCCACTTCTGCTCGCCTCTCCTCTAGAAGTAGGTCTGCGAGAACCGTATGTTTATTTTTCATTACCAGCCACCTCTTCTTTTTTCATCCAGAAATCAAATTGGAAACGCGTTATCTCGTGTCAACCACGTTTGACCTCGCGGACGTCCCGTACGCGGGCGATTTAAAAATAGACGCTAGATAAGAGTTTTCGACGCGAGCCGCCGCGTTTCACCGAGAGAAAGATAAACGCGGGTCTGCCGAACTAAATTCCGGCTCTGATTTTCGAGTAATGTCCCAATGACATAATTATACGCTAGATCGAATCTGATCAAGTCTGTTGATCAGTCCTGGGCTTTACGTAAATAAAATGATCTGCTCTGTTTAGATAAATGTAATCTTGCTTAATGAGCGTGATCACGTGTGGTCAAATTCGTATACGTTGATTTTTCATCAAATAAGCCCTTTGCATTTCACTTAATCTGTTGCCAAATAATTTTGCACATAATTTCTCAAATTTCTGATTCAAGAAAAAAAAAACTATTAAGTACGTCAAGCAATCGGCAACCTAATTAAAGTTTCATTATTAATATATTGTGGTAACAATAGCGTAATAATAACTGTAATAGTAATTGCTCGTTGAAGGAATTCATCGATGTTACGTAAAATATATAAAAATAATTGCTTTATGTATACATAAATGTACATTCTATATAGATTTACTTTTTTGATTATATATGTGATTTACTTTTACATTGCTTTCATGATTAAAATGATAAAGTTTGAAATATTGTTCTTTTATTTCGTGCTGTAAATAATAATTGCCCAGATCTGTTCTTGTTGTAGCGGCACCAACATTGATAATCCGCAGAACAATCATCATTCATCAGAAAGATCTCGAACTCTGTGTTGGGATTAAATAATCTATCGTTGTGTTCATAGATCACCTTCTGGATGTCTCAGTGCTTATCTACCTCAGGATCAGGATATCTAACGAAAGATATCGATACCTGACTAATCGGAAGAAACATATTCATAGTGCGCTTGTGTCGGGAAAGAAGTATCGATCAAGTAGAAGCGTAAGGGAAACGGAAACAAGTCAAGAAATATTTGCAAAATATTCCGTATTCTTCAAGTTTTCCATTTCTTACGTAACGTTTCTTTTTTCACATTCGTATCTAACGATGACAAACAGAAATGTAACTCGTCTTGTGACGAAATTTCTTACGTTCTCTTTACAAAACGATTGGACTACAGTAATATTCCTGAATTGTTATCGAGAAATTTTATTTGCTTATTCATAAATTTCTTTATGGGCGCAAAGCCGTGAGTTGAAAAAGTAAGAAATATTAACTTGCTATTCTTATCTTATTTCTTCGAGATCAATTAATTGAGTTTTAAGCTCACTGTAACGTTAACAATGTATTGAAAGTATTGTTTTCCCGATGGTACAACATGCACTCAAGTATCGATACTCTTTCCGAGTCTCCTTCATTTCTCTCATCTCACACACATTTGTAATGTTGATAGAAAGCATCAATAAAACCATTTGACGATGAAAATCCGACTTTGTCATTAACTCTCGAAACTGCTCGGATCCCGCTCCCGCGTTTCACGTGGCCGCGATGTGCGATGCGAGTCGACAGACAGAGCCGGCTGTAAAACGTTTATCGTCTTTCAAACATGTTGGTATCTAATTCCCGCGTTACACTATACTATCGACCGATACGCCGGCTCAAGGTAGGCAAGAGTTAAGATAGCGTTGAAACGCAGGCAAATTGAGCTCGCCTCGCGATCTATACCGCGACTACTACTACGCGTCGATATGACTGAAATATCAAGGACGACCGGAAAACCTGCAGATATCCCGTCGCGAATAATTAAATGTGTATAGACATATACGAGGTGTCGCGTGTAAACACTCGTCCGCTTGAAAAAAAGATAAAAAACGAATTATTCGAGCCGAGTGTCACCGAAAGTCCGATGCACTCTTTACAGGCCAGCTCAGGATTGAAGGATCGAGTGAATGCAGGAAGTATGACGTTCAATACAGTCGCTTGGAGGATAGAGATTCCTATTGAGATTTCTTCGAGCTTTCGATCGCCCGAAAAACTATCCACGGCTGAAAACGAGGACGAGTAATAACGAAACGTTACGACGAGGTCTTCTCAATGGAGATCCGGTAGCAGAGATCCCTATACGTCGCAATCATATTTCTTTCACATTTTTATTTTTAGTCCTACATATTTAAATAACTTCGCCTGAAATTGAATACTCCGCAAGTTAATTTTGTTGCTAATTAACGTGCGTTCTCTTCCATTTGAGCAAGCAAAATTGAATACGAGTAAAGAAAGAAACGCGACACTTATTTAACATAGAGAGAGAGATTTGCCGCATAATCCATTTATGAATTCGTTGCTGAAAAGGTCGCGCGACAACACCCTATGTACTTAGACTTAATTGGGCGCTCAAAATAACAGTTGCTAGCCAGTCGATAAAATTTGAATGTCTTACCGACTTGGGGTTACAAAACAAGCATGTTCGATACAACCTGCTCTTTCCTGCCGATTTATCGGTACGAGCCGAGCGCGTTGAGCGTCATACTCGAATGCACGGCGGGTTGCTCGCTACTCCGCGCACAAAAGGCGCTAACGCCGTATCAGTTCTAGAGACCCTGTTATCAGAGACTGGCCACAATGTCCGTTCTAGGGATGATCCTACTTGTGGCTCATCCGAGCGAATAAATATGTGGACAAAGATCGTTGTATTGAGACCGTTGATGGACTCGGGTGCAATTTCTACATAAGAAGGCGGTTAAAAATCACAGTGAAATCATACAAAAACCATACTTAGTATGATAGTCACACTAAGATGCCCGTGTAAACTTCTCCACTCGGATGAGCCACAAGTAGGATCATCCCTAGGTGTAGAACGGGCATAAGAGCTCGTCAAATTCCCGCGAGTGAGAGAGAAACATAGGTTGTTTGAGTGAGATAGTCTATGTTTCTCTCTCGCTCGCAGGAATTTGACGAACCCTTATGGCCAGTCTGTGATTACAGGGTCTCTGATCAGTTCTAACGAGGGGAATAATACGAACGATGAGATACTGCTCGATGAAAAGGGCTCGGAGCGAGGGGTCGTGATTCCAGGACGAGATTGGTGCTATTCGAAACAGCCGTGTGCATAAATTCAAATTGGAACTTATAGAACGATACACGGAGAGAATTTTCTCTTAATCATCGCGTAATCGCGGAACGACGTGGCATTTTGAGGAACTTTACGAGAGTTTTCTGAAATTTTACCACAAAATTTCAACGTTTTCACCAGTAAAAATGTATACTCGGTACAATTGCTAGTAAAATATATGGTAAAATTTCAAAAAACTCAAAAAACTTCTTCGGAAACCTCTAAGTATTGCCAATAAATAATAATGGGATTTGCACACGTCTCTCCCGATAACATGCCGTAAATCGCGGGCGGATGACTGCCGAGATACCGCGACGCACTATCGCCACTATCATCCTAATTCTTCTCTAATTCTTCTCACCCCCGCCACACCGCTTTGCGCGTAATAATATATCCCGATCGAGACGGCGCGGGAAATGCAGTCGACTTATTTTCACGGTTAATTGTCTCACGGACGCAGCGCTAAAATGCATCAGCAACGACCCACGCAAGTGCCTACGCCGCCGGTACGTCCACTATTGCTCTAAATATCCAAAAACACCCTTTTCAAACCCACCGAGAGTGACCAAGTGATCTCGCTCACTGCGAAGGGGCAAGGAAACGCTATCATTCGCCGGTTGTGTCGCGCGAGCGAGATCTAATACATGATAAAAGGGAAGATCACCCTCAGAAAGGATTTCTGTTACCCAGACAAAAAATATTCTCGACGCATTTCTATTTCTCACTACCTCATTTAGTATAAAAATAAGACAATATCGAAATAAAATCAACAATTCTTATTCTTCTCAATCGAATTAAAACAGATTGACTTACTATGTTGAGACAAGAGTAACTTATACAAATGTAAGTTTATATATTCTTGCGTTATTATCATTTTATTCTAGATTTTAGAATTTTTCATTTAAAATTAAAATATTCCTTTCTTTGTAATAAATATGATTGGCGCTATATCGATCCTATTTTATGATACATTCAAGTGTAATAGCATTGGATCAGGAAATTTTTTCTGTGGGTGTAGACATTCGATAAATACCATTTGATGGAACGTGTATCTTAAGACTCGTTTAATGTAATATCCAAGCCAATTAGTTCAATATTATTTTGACACTTTTATAAATTTACCGTTTTTAACCATTCGGCTATCTACATCCTGCTCGGACTGTATTGACTATCTTATTTCTTATTGATTTACTCTTTTTATCTTTTTTAAAATAATTTATTTGACTAAAGACATATTTTATATATCCAACCGTTTTCTAATAACTTTTTCTATCTCCTTACTTGTAACTGTTTCCTATTTATGCATTATTCGACTTATCTGACCTGTAACTCGTCTGACCTGACACCTGTTTGTTTGTTATTTAACTTTTAACGTCTTCAGTTAATTCGCCAGCGCTCTTTCCAACGCTCTTTTAATTGTACGACTGTTCCTTTCGGCCGCAAATATGTATCTCCATTCAACGACTGTCGATCCACATTTTATTCTCTGACCGCGGTTTTTTTTCCATTCTCACGTTCCACAGACTGTATGGTGAGTTAACTTTGAACATTATTTTGATAATTTCTAATTGCTGGGGTTAAAAATTTTACAGACCATAATCATACATGTCAATATCACACCTGGTGTTTCGTGAGGTGACTTTCGGACTATGCAATCCCCAAACGCACCATAAGATCGGAGAACGTGAGAAAGGATAGAGAAAGGTTTTTAATTTTACTTATTACGCTGAGAATGGCTTGAGACGGAGCCGAAACGCACTATGTATCGGGAAATTTGTTTCAAATATTTTATATAATGTGAAATAAATATATTTATGCGTTAAGTTTTACACACGAACGACCGTGTTGAACAGTCTAGCCCGTATATAATAGTTTAATATCATTTCAATATTAATGTTCAATATTAATGTCAATTGGAACGCGTTTGAGACCCGGTATAAATTCGGAGGAAGACGAGCGAATGACAAATGAAAGATCTCGTCCCCGGTTTGAAACTTCGAATTCTTATTGCTCCTTGCATTCTTTCTCTTTCTACTTTCTTTAATGAGCTATTTTAAGAGAACATTGCCGGGTTGAAGCATCTTTTATTTGCCAGTGTTACATACCTAAGTCACACTAACGGGAGTAGCGTGAAACTGGTGAAGATGCATCACTAGTTTCACGTGAAATCGAAAATTAATATTGTCACTGAGAAAGTTTAAATATATGTTCAATTAAGCGTAACGTTCATACACCTTTGCAAAATGTTTCAAGAGAAGTGTCAATTAAAAAGAAAAGCTCGATGTTTATCTTTAAACACTCTTGAATTGAGATTATCAAATTTTCTATCGATGGCGAAAATGTTATTCTATAATTTCTATTAATATATCTAAATTTTATCGCAACAAATAACGAATTCACGTCTTATAAAATTAGATTCTCGATAAAAAGAAGATTGGACAATAAGAGTAGAAACGCCGTTAACGTTGCATGAGTTATATCATCAGTTATACGCGCGTGGTTTTAGTTTGTCGCTTGTACTTAGTCGCTTATACTTGGCGCGAGACACTACCGTGTCTCATGATCTTTATATCCGATTACTATCGTTATATCCGATTACAAATTGCGAACGTTTCGACTCCTATTTTGGCTCAGTCTCAGCACAATAAAAATGTGAAAATCTCACGATTTTAGTTCGGCCAGATAGTGAGTGCTTGCACAATTAATATTTCCTTAGCGCACGCTGCGCTCCTTGTTGTATCTATTCTTTCATTTCACGCGGCACGTGGTCGCGCCGTGGCTGACACGCGCGTGTCAAAGGATTAAAATCGAAATCATGATTTCCGGTAAACGATCATAAACTTAAAGACACGTGTGACACGTTATTGCGACGTGTCAAGTTGAAAATTGTATAAATCATCATCGTTATTGTTTGGTTTTACCTATTATCTGTAATGAGTGTTAAGATAGTGTTTGCGTCCACACATCCAGTCGATTTAATGTTGTTAGCATAATTAATATGTCATTACCATAGTTATATATTCTGGTCAATTGTAACATTGCTGGTATTGACATGAAATAGTGTCGCGAAAGAGTCACACCGACATCGGTAGTGCAAAGAGAAACGCACATTCTTACACCACGAGAGCAAAATGACGAAGCATCCACTCGGAGCAAAACGTACCATCTTGGCAGACGCTAGCAAGATACAGAAATAGCAACGTTTTATGCGAAAGACTCCACATTGAGAAGCACCAGAAATATTTCGCGTAGGCCGTGCGGCCGATTTAGAAAGAAATTAGCGATCTCATTCCGAGAGCTGTAGGCCGAAGCTTTGCGTAACGTAGTTGAAGACTCGCGTTCAAGGTTACCCAGAAAATTCTCTGCCGTTATTGTC